GATGTGACATTTGCCTGGTATCCCTTCCATGTTCACCTGAATGAGGTTCGAGATCCGTTCGGCCAGTGTTGGGGGACGTTGAACGCGAGAAGGAGTTGTTTCCGAGGGCTCCATAAGGGTCCCTGTAGCTGCTGAGTCTTGCGTTGCCGTAAGTTTAGGAGAAGTCACCGGTGGAGTGTTGTCGTCCATGGCCTCATCGTGTGGGTTCGCCCCAGCTGTATTGACCCGTTCGTCATCATCGTCTTCCTCCATTGCGTCGTCCACAATGTTCTCCCTGTCGTCAGTGTCGTCAGCATCAGTGTCTTCATCTTCATCCGACGACTCAGCCTTGGAGTAATTCTTTTTCACAGCCACCACTTCAACCTCGTCGAATTCTTGAATTCCACTACCGTCAAACGAGTCATCGTCACTTTGTAGAGGTGCAAAGCGATTTGAGTTTTGCACCTGGTCCCCTTCGGAGCTGGTGGAATTGCGTTGAACATCGGTGCCTGGTTCGTCAATAGAATACATTGGATCGTATATTTTTTGAATACGAGGCGGATCCGGTTCCTTCACTGATTCTCGATTTGGAGCTTTGTTGATAGACTTGCCACTTCTTGTTTGTTTGATTGCGTCGACAATTGCGGATGGCGGGTCGTCGTAATACTCCAACAGAAACTCATTAATCCAAGGATAGTCAAACAACTCGGAGCAAATTAACCAAAAGCCCACCAAGGGATGCTCCAAGCGTAGCCGTGGATTGGACATTTCGCCTGAAAAGAAATGGTTGTCGTCCGGTTTGCCCTCAAACTCATCAATACCAAAAAAGGAAAACGGATTTTGTAAAGAAATCCGCATAGCCAAAATACGTAAAGACCAGATTTCTTCAGACGGATTCACTTCCATCGTTTCAGTATCAAATGCCGCAATTAGGTACTGTGTCAATTGACTATTATCCGAATTCATCGATGTGAAAATGCGAGAGAAACGATCTTCACAAGTTGTTGTCCCGGTATTGTCGTTAAATGGGTCGTCATACCGGAGGCAGGGTTGGTTCCAAGCAGCAGGAAAACGTTCTTCCCACGCCATAAAAAGCTCGTTACCCGTATGGATACGGTCATGACGTTCCAATGCTTCGTCGACAGCATCTCCTGAATATAAATTCTTCATCCACCACTCTGACAGGTTTGGAACAATGCTATCGTAATGTCCACTCCTGCGAGCCTCTCGTTCAGCGATTCTTTTCGCCTCACTCTCATCAGCCATGCGTTGCGCTTCATGATCGTCGAAAACACGCTTCTCATCAGGTTGGATTGCAGAGACCATCTTGGAATCGATGGGATCCCTATCTTTAGGCTGTTGTAGGTCAATTTCCACTCGTTTCTTGACGGACTTTTTAGCCACAGGGATCGTTTTCATCTTAGACACGCCCGACTTTTTTGTCATCGCCGAGGATGCCTTCGCGTTGATAGATTTGCCCATGGTGCGCCGGTGTTGAATGGTTGGCTTGGTGATAAATTCGGAAGTTTTCTACGGAAATTCAGTACTAGCGCTACGCAAGGCAGACTGGTTAGTTCTGCCGGATCGCGTGTTGTTTCGTTTCTGAAATAATTTTTTCTATACGACGGAATACTATGTGAAAGATTCCACAAATACCTCAACAAAGTGCAACGAATCGGAGCAGCCGACATGAACACACACGAAGAATGGGCAATGAACACCATGTTTGGAACATACGCATGGAATGCAGCCCCAGTAGATGGCACGGATATCCAACGAGCATTCGCCGCAGTGGCACGACACTTCAAATTCCCACTTGACAACGCAGCAGCGGCATTGTCAATATTGGAGGCGCGTCAGAAAAACAGGACACGACACCAGCAAACGCCAGGACAGAACACACTAGAGCACATTGAGACAATGTTCCCACTCTTCTGAGACAAAAGGAACTGCTTAAACTTCTCAATGAGGAACGAAGGGAACACCACCGAATGCTCAAGAATCAAACCAGAACGCGACGGAAATTTGAAATTGGAGACATTGTTATGGTGCGGAAACAAGTACAATCAAACGCCTCTGCAGGAATACCAGCAAAAGTGGTGCTAAGAACAAAAGGAACCTATAGAGTCATCGAGAAAGCGTCAGAAGACTCGTGCAGACTACAAAAGATCCCAGGGACAAGCACCATGCTAAAGAAGCGAGGATCGACTCCAATCAAAGAATCAGCATTCAGAATGCACAAGATCCCATCAACGATAATACTTCACACCAGTAGATGGCACGGACATCCAACGAGAATTCCCACTAGACAACGCAGCAGCGGCATTGTCAATATCGGAGGCGCGTCAGAAAAACAGGACACGACACCAGCAAACGCCAGGACAGAACACATTAGAGCACATTGAGACAATGTTCCCACTCTTCTGGAGACAAAAGGAACTGCTTAAACTTCTCAATGAGGAACGAAGGGAACACCATCGAATGCTCAAGAATCAAACCAGAACGCGACGGAAATTTGAAATCGGAGACATTGTTATGGTGCGGAAACAAGTACAATCAAACGCCTCTGCAGGAATACCAGCAAAAGTGGTGCTAAGAACAAAAGGACCCACAGAGTCATCGAGAAAGCGTCAGAAGACTCGTGCAGACTACAAAAGATCCCAGGGACAAGCACCATGCTAAAGAAGCGAGGATCAACCCCAATCAAAGAATCAGCATTCAGAATGCACAAGATCCCATCAACGATAATACTACACAAACGAGTGGACACACCAGATACAAGACTAGCAAACATGAGGAGCCCGCTAGCACACAGCCCCCTGGAAATGAATCTAGGACTGGTCGATTTTGGTAAATACACGACAACACCGACAGACACAGAAAACGCATTTGAGCCAATCAAAGACATTTGGGACGAAGAAGTTGAGCCAACGGAAGATTCATCAGACGAAGAAGAAGACGACACCCCTACACCATCCATGCTGGACGCTATCCAATGCACGCAGCCTTGGCCGATTAACAAAGACGTACCACCAACAGATACAAAAGGAGCCAACCAAACCAGACAGGTCCATACCACAGAAACCATCACAGAAGAACTCAATCTACAGAGCTTATACGAACGAACCACACAATCCAAGGACAAATTATACGTCATAGCCCATCAAGACGACACATCAGGGTGGAACAACTGGTACGTGATACAAATCGACATGGAGGAGACCAACGAGAAACTAGCAAGAACAAAAGGACAGTATCACTGCAAGTGGTACATACCAAAACCCACCACTACAAAGCAAGGCTCCCCAATGACCAGCCCCTTTTGGCCCCTAATCAAAGAATTCACCGAAGAGACAACATACGGCCCAACAGTACCCATCAGACCCAGCAAAGTAGACCAGGTGCTAAACAAGAGCCCGCACAAGTACGCCTGGTACCAGAAAGAGGTCAACATCGTTGACACAAAGATGACCCACGATAGCCCCTAGATAGCCCCAAACAAGTTGACCCAAGCCCCAGACCCAAAAGTTACGACGATCTGTCGCAGCAGACCATAGTACAAGTTGACCCAACAAAAAGCCGCCATTGACAAACTACTGCATGTCGCAGCATACAGTACAAGTCATGACTGGCAGAGTAGCAGGAACACGAAGGCACAAAGAGAAAGGACCAGATATAGCAACGACTAAGATGAGGACTGATCCTCCCGTTCTGACCGTCGTACCGCAAAGCACCTAGTCAAACTTTGGACCTGGACGCAACTGTCAGACACTTGAAGCCGCTTGCCAGCAACCTGGACGTTGGAGAGAATCCTGCAGCCCGATTTGCAATTGAAGGTTAGATGGCGATTTTTCTTCGGCTACCTTGTTTGGTGCCAGCAGCCATTCATCAAGAAGAGGGAGGTGAAAACAGACCAAGATGAGACGTTACAACAGAGTTGCCTAAATAGAAGAAGAGGGGACATAACGTGACTGAATGGACTGCCGAGTCCCGAGCAGATCATGTACTAGAGCGATCGAAGGCCAACGGTCATCGCCGAATATTCAGCCCATGATCAATCATCCATCATCTACTCACAGCTGCTTCAGACCCCCGTAAATACACCCCAATAGCAATATCAATCACCGTCTATCATGTCCAACAGTAGCTACATCAATGCACTAGTACGCTCTCTCTACGATGAGAGCCAGGAGCACAACGATAGCACGTTAAGCATGTCGATTCTCATCAGCAATCATTATTTTGGAGATCCACAATATTTACACGCCCCTTGGGACTCTTTTGTGAGTCCTTTCCTCACGGGACTGCCTTTGTGGCGGCAAAATGAGCCAGCAAGCCTCGAATTCAATCCGGTAAGGCCCATTCCAAATGGACGAATTTCGCGTATTTTCCCTGTATTTGAATCGACGTACAACCAAGAGGTACAACGTCTGTTTTCAACGGATTTTATACGTCGAATTTTTTCAAATCCAATTGGAATGACGCTTTTAGTCACTCGCGGAAAAGTATATAAAAATATATACTGTCTGTATGTCTAGATACGATTGTAGTGGTCTATGCTCCAACCGACACATGCGTGAGACGGAGGATATGGCGCGAATGTCACAAAGTTGTTTGATTTGTGATTTCCCATCAGATTTCATCATCTCACTACACTAACAAAACATGAACAGAAGTGGTAGCAGTATCGTGAAGAAGCACCTGAACAGTAGAATAGTCGAGAATACGACTGCTATTCTGGGAGATGGTGCCACCAATGCTGAAGACGAGCTTGGACATGACTTCAAGCAAAGACTTAAAAAAACTTTGTCACATGAAAAAACGGACAAGACCAGGAGAGACTACCGCAATCGAATTCTAAGAATGACAAAGTATTTTCAACAGAAGTGCTTCAGATACTTTGAAGCTGGTGTTCACAAAAACACATCTGCAGAAATGAATGATCCTGCAATGTACTTTTATGATAAGTACGAGTATGATCTTATTTATGCAGGTCTAAACGTAGATTATGTTCTCAAGTTTCTCATGGATCAAGAGAGAACTGCAGCAGGCAATCTGCGCACCAAGGCAGATATGCAAAAGTTTCGAGATGCTATCAAGTGGGGTGCCCAAATCCGTGGCGAAGCACTGTCCCAAGAGTGCTGGGACAAATTGGATCTTTATCTTTTCTCCTACAAGCGACAGGTTGCAGCTGGGAAGGGGAATGGGGATGTCCAAACAAAGGAGGCAGACCCAATCACAAAAGAGCTTTACATGTTAATTTGCAAGTGGGCGTCTGAAGATGGCAATACAATGGTAGACTTTTGGACAAAGACCCAGTGGAACTGCATGAGCCGTTGTGGCAACATTGACTACCTTGGATTCAGCAACTTCAGAATTGTTTTGGATGCACATGCTGTTACACATGACACTACAAAAAAGGATAAAGATGGCGATAGATGTTTTGCTAAACACATTTATGCAAATCATGAGTATCACTATTTGTGCCAGTGGACAGCCATGGGTAACTACTGTGCCTTGTACAAAAACGAGCTTGGACAAACTCAGAAACTTTTCATGTGGAATACCAAGGACGGCAGTGCTGCAAAGAAATATCAAGAACAGCTGAAAGCTCTTGTGAATAAAACTGAGGAAAGGAGAAACATTGTTAGTTCTCACTGTCGAAAAGGGCACTTCAATGCTTACGGTTTGCGGAAAGGAGCCGCAAGCTATGCAAGCTCAGGAACCACATGTGCCCCGTCCCTTTCTTCTATTGCACACCGTGGTGATTGGTCAATGGGCTCCGTCTTTGACATATACTGGAGATTTTTGCCAGTTGGCGATCATTACTTGGGCCAGATACTATCAGGAAAGGACCCAATGAAACCATCATTCAAGACCTTACCTCCACATTGGAAAATGGCAAATCCGATGGGCCACCCACTGATCCGCGAAGTCATGAACGCCAACTTTGGTCCCATCTTAAAAACACATAGTGAAGCGGACTATGATCCTACAGGTTTGTTGTTGCGTTGCCTAGCATGCATGGTATGGCATGCCAAGTCGTTCCAGGAGTACATTGCCCATAACCCAAGCAACGAACTTGTCAAGGTTCCATTCTACAACATGAGAGGATCAGAAATTGACGCATTGCAACAGCTTATCACTGTTGAACCAACTCCCGATGTCATGACCACTGTTACTGGCGTCCCGCCACACATTGAAACAACTTGCCAAATGAAGGCAATTCATGACAACTTAATACAGTTACTTGCACAAACAAGAATCAGTGAGGACAACCAGAAGCAGCGCGACGAGCAATTGAAGGCAGACCTTGTTGCGGCTGTTCACCATGGAATAGAGCAGAATGCAATTTCGAACGGCAACATTACTGCAAAAGGTATCAATGACATCATTCAAAAGCACCAAGACGCAACAAATAAACAACTTACCGAACATTTGCAAGCAATGCTTAGGAGCCTGCCTCCTCAGTTCCAAGGTGGTCAGCCAGCTCAGATTCCGCCACCTGGAAATCAAGTTCAGCAAGGGGGTGGATTGTTGCTTCAAAAGCCTGATCAAGGAAAATACTTTTACACCGAAAGGTTCTGGTCCGTTCCGGAAGACTTTGAGTTCCCTCCAAAGCCAAACCTTCCCCAAGCGCTTCGATGCTGGCTCAAGGGTATAAGGTATGGCAACAATTATGTGAAACCATTTCGCCAGCTACGACCAAAGGACCTCCCAACCACAGCACTCCAGTCACAGATGCGAGTTGAATGGCAGAAATTTTTCAAGTATCTCGAGAACAATGGGTTAGAAATGCCTAGTAACACGAGCGAAGAAGTGACTGAAGCACAATTGGAACGTACTACCGATGAGATGTGGGACCTTTTGGAAAAAAAGGTTTCCTATGCATTCACAAGAAAGAATGCAAAAAGCCACTGTCTTTCTACTTTCGCAAGGAAGGTATCGCCGTCAGAAATTGTTAAGAATGGAAATCCGTCAGATAAAACTTACTTGGAATCGAGGCAGAAGGCAAAACCTGCCGCACGACAGTATAAAAATCGAGTCCGACCGCTGGCTAAAAATCCAAAGTACCTCAGAAGAGGAAAGCAAAAGACAACAGCAAATGCAACGAATCCAGCAAGATTGCAACAGGCAACAATTCATGCAGGAGCGGGTATCTTGCTTGAGCCGATAGACCACTCACCTCGTGTCTTGAATTCGACTCGATATTCAATTGAAGCAAATGCAGAACAGGATCGAATGATGGAAGAGTATGGTGTTGGTCGTGGTCCAACTGGGCCTCCAGCTGTTGCCATCGGACATCACGACCAAACATCACCCACATATCTTCAAGAACTCATTGACAGATTTGGAATCAGGCATCCATATCCGCCAATATCAGTTCCAGGACCACTAGGACCATGTGCTTGTGCCGGTTGCTCCAAAGAGTTGGAACTTGGGCGACACCGATGTGCCCGATGCAACATCGTCATTCACAATAACTGTGCGATGGATCGAAATTGGTACATGCAAAAGAATGGTGAGGAAATGTGTTTTTGTAGTGATCAGTGCAAAAAGAATCTTCCCGGTGGAAGATACTTGTAGGAAATACCTTGAATAAAAGTAAATGCATGTTTCATCGTCGTCGATTGATGGTTCATGATTTTCTGTCTTTTTTGATGAACACCAAATTCGTTGTGATCGGAATTGTGTCAAATTGGTACAAAATCAACGTACGAAATACGTAGAAACACCGCATGAATTTAGTATATGAAGAAACCCGGAAATAGATATACTTTTCGGAAAGCGTACTCGAGCGATTGTTCCTCGTACAAAATTCCACGTGTGCCTACACAGAAAGCGGAACTCAGCGATCCGGAATATGTATGTTTTTTATATACTCATTCATTTTCGAAGGCTCATATTAGTCATATACTATCATGAAAGTTTTCTTCCGTCTACGTTAGATGATTGATAGACGGACAGGCAACGACCCCAACCCGGTTTCTAACCAAAACAAAACTGCAGCAGCTTTCGTTGCAGAGACTCATTTTCTTCATCTAGGCAGCTCCATGCATTTCCAAAAATGTCCGATGACGAGCCTTCGATCAGCGGTAATCTAGAAGTTTCATCTGATGGAGAACGAAACCGATTGTGGAGAACCTTTCGTTTCATCCTGGCGATCATGATATTCTACGTTGTAATGCTGTTCTTTGACTATGAACATGAAACTATTCTATTGATTGTCGGTGCCGCTTGCTTTCTATTTTGGCTCTTATATATGTTGGTCATTATAACGATGATGGTTTGCGCGGACTGGTCTTCTCCGAACATGCAAGGCGCGGAGGAGCAGGGTCTGACGAATAATGAGACGACTACACCAGTAAATGGTCTATCGCCAACCAATGTGGACGACTTGTGTTCCGTACCTTTCGCTACAACATCACAGTATATTCGATCAAATCTCGACATAACAACTCCTGGGATGTATCCTGTTGATGGCGGGTATAACATTGTTTACAACGCTATTTTCTTTGGCAAAACACTCCGGAGTCAAGCTCGATTGCAACTTTACTTTCAAAGAACGTCGAACGGATGGTCAATCTCGGGGTCTAGTGAAACTGCATCTGGCTCACGAGATATTTCGGAAGGTTTTGTCAATTCCATCGGTCAAATGTATTGGATTATTGATGACGATCGAGAAGAACCCTGCATATATCGAGGCATTATGGATATTCAGACAAGCATCATGTGTGATGGAGAATTCCAGAGTGCGAGCGATACAAGTCGTGCCAAAGGTCGAATTGTAAGGCTTGAAAAAAGGAACAGAAACGACGAAAATGTGCGACATGGAATGGCCAATACTGATGGCAGCATCAACCGAAGCAAGAAGACTGCTCACCGATCGAGCTTGAAGCAGTTAGCCGAAAAGCAATCGGTGGAAATGGTTGATTTTTCTACAAAAGGAGATCGTTTGATGTAGCAATTGTGTGATTGAGATCAATGGAAATAGCAGTGAAAAGATCAGAGATTTGAGCCGCGAACGATCTCAGAGCTTGGCTTGCAAGACAGAAAGCAAAAGGGCGAGAATGAATCCAATTCTTGAGGTGGTTGCGATGTGGCGCTCAGTGGCGGTAAATCTTGCGGGTGATAGGCTATTGCATGCAATTATAATATCAAGAGTCTATCGCGGGGCAATATTGTTGAAGGAGGCCGATTGGAAGGAACAGAAACAGCGATGTTTCGAACAGTGCATCCAGACCATGGCAAACAAGAACCAGGATCTTTTGGAGTCAAACAAAACCTCTATTGCAAAGGAACAGGTTCGTTGTCACAGGGCAACTCAAAAGTTGAAGAAAATGCTTTAAAATGCATGAGATGGTTGAAGAAGAATGAATGTTTGCACAATGCTGTAGCGAATATAATGAATATTACTGTACGGCACAGTGTCATATTTTAAAACAGAAAAACTGGCTGGTACAGTACAGTACCGCCTGGTGTTTTGATGTTGGGTGACGACAAGGAAAAAAAGACGTAAAACCTTGTTGTCTGAAAATTAATTGATTTGTTTGCAAAAACATGCACGTAAACGATCCATTGCTAGCATCGCCAACGTTCACCAACGTTCAATTTTTAGTTTTAAGACGGAAGGTCTAACGGAGACGAAAGCTCGAGAATGAATCAATGGATTCCTTTCATCATACTGACAACGGTCAAATGGCCGTCACAACAGCATTGCTCCGCAACACCAAGTCCGATCACTTTATCAAACTTGTGTGCGAGTATACATCAAGAAATACGTTTATTTCTTCCTTTCCTACCAAGACGCTACATGAAAATATTCCTGGAAATGGACAAGTTCAGCCGACATTTATGCTTATTGCACACCTGGTACAGGCAAGCAACTATTTGGATGCAACAGATTATAACGTGCTGACCCTGGTGACTCCGGCTTTGGCAAAAGATTCTCTGCTTTTGGAGTTTCCGTTCCCCTGTCCTTGGAAGACTACTCGCAAAAGACAATGGGGTTTTGGGAAAGTGCACAAAGATCGCTACAGTACCTATGCAAAGGTCAACCCTCGATCCATGATTCATTATGCTTAGGGCTTTCTGTCGACAGTGGATAGACACAATGTGATTTTTGCATTGCCTCAGTGGCGCCAATATGCCTCTCTTTGTCGCTTTGCCTCTGTCACTTTGCTGGCTTGTTTGAAAGAACCACGTGTTCTGCCAGCAATGGTATTCCAACAAGATGATCCTTTACGGGCAAAGCTCAATTCAGCGGGTCTTCTTCGTTTTGATTTTCTACATGGGGATTTCATTCGTTGGTTGGGTGGCGATTAAGTCAATTCTGATCAAGCTTTCAACGCAGAATGGGATGTCATTGACTCTACTTTGCATAACAAAGAGATTCCGGCTGGAGACCCACCACTCAATTTTGAAATGGCTTGTCACATCCAAACAGAAGGTGTTCCTATCAAACCCCAATACACGACTCCTATGTGTGCTACTGTCCTTCGGGAAGAATATGATAACCATCCTGCAGTTGCCGCCAATGCTTCCCATCAGAAAAGAAAGTTTGGTCATATTGATCGGCTGGCTCATGTCACATTAGGACATGGCTTGCTCTGCTTGTGTCACGTGACCACGTGCTTTTTACCGTCGCGGTTCGATTGGAACCTTTTCATGTTTAATTTTACCTCTGCGATAATGTCACATGCCTCATGTGATATTGTCACCTGGCTCAGCTGTAGTGCTCAAATAGCATAGCTGACAAAATTACGTTTCTCACGTGAACACAACCAATGCACAACGTCATAATGTCACTGAGTGCATGTCTTCTAATCACACAAATTAGGTTATAATATCGTCAATTGCATTGCTATTTTAATCCACACCACTTCTATTATCATCTATTGGTTTTCTTGTCACCACTCTTGCTGTCCTATCTATTCACACTGAACTTCTCATTGTTTGCATCGCTTCAAACCAACCAACCAACCATCCATGCCCTGCCTCCTACAATCAGCCATGGGCACCACTGTCAACTTGCGGATGTTCTTGAATCTCAAGTGACAATTTTTCCTATATGACCCCGATCCACGAAATACCCACCCAAAATTCGGGTGGAATTTGGAATTCTGGGGACAAAGCAAAAATTTCAAAAAGCACCTACGGACCTAAAACCTTTTCAAAGCGCTAGAGAGAATACTTTGCCCATCCCTTGTAAAAAATCCTAAGTTCTTAGGAGGTGTTAGAGGGGCTCCAGTGCAGAAAACAACTTTCTGCTAACGGCTAAAAAACAGCCGTTAGTCAATTTGACTCAATTGACTTGACATTGACTCGTGGGATTGCCAAAAAAAACTCAAGAGGCTGGAGGCAGATCTCGTACCATACGACCTTGTTGCGATTACATTCTTAGATAAATTTCAATGCGATATTATAAGTATATATATTTCCTAGGACTGGGTACACTCTGAATT